CGTGCTGCTTTTTCGCCGAATCTAGCACACGAATATGATAGTCGGACTTATAATCTAGGTATTTATAACAATATAATGTATCCARTGAAGCAAATTCGATATCATTATGATTTATGGCGATGTATGATGGTTATTAGTTCTAAAAGACTATACACTACTCCTGCCCGGTAATATGTATATTATATATATTTATATATACGAAGCACATGGGAAATTACATAATAAGTAATAACATACATAGCATTATTTATAAGTAGGTACTTACCTAGTTACCTATATCGATCTGCAAAATGTACAATGTTTTTCGTTCGAAAATCCCGTCATTGTTTAATGAAGCATTGTGCACGAACTGATATAGTTGAAATGCACTCATGAAAAATTATTCATATGATAAATTGCTATACTAAATCTGAAACAATTRTCAATAAAAAAATGTAAAAATTTATTAGTCTAACCATCAATCATTTATTTATACATGACTGACTAGCGTTTCCTAGTTAAGACATTTAAGTACTTTACCCGTGGTTATACATATCTACTTTTACTAACTATATACTGATTACTGATTAGCTTCAGCCGTCATTTATCAATATAATACACTTACCTATATTAATACGTGCAGTATGAATGTACAGTTTTAATCTAGGTAATATTATTGATAAGAAATAAATAATAATATAAAAAAAGTAATTTTATACTAGTTATTGGAATATAATAGGTGAAAGGATAACATTTCACGAACACCATAGTCCAGAAGTATATTCTTAATTTAATTCAACTACTTACTAGGTACCTATATGGTTTTTATTTCGGTCTATCAATTATCAAGTATACTAACACAAAAAAAAAACAATTAAAAATTAACAAAAATATAAAATTACCTACTATAAAATATGTTCGTTATAATTAGGGGTTAGGATATTTATGCACTAAAAAATGTATAAATATGTATGCACTAAAAATCAGCTAAATATGCATGAAAAATTTGAAAAATATGCATTCAAAAATAAAGAAATTTTTGGACAAAAAATTCAATAAACATTTATTATTATAGACAAATTGAAAAAACTGAAAAAAATTAAATAAAAAAAAAAAAAATTAAAAAGAGTTTCATTGAATAATTAAAGTTTGTTTTAAATGTTCTACTGTAAATCTTCGTCTGTTTGGTGCTAATACGTTTTTGAATCTATTGAACAAAAAATCTCTATGTAAAAAATTGTATTTATTTAAATTATAATTTAATTTAAATTTATTATTATTTAATTATAATTTATATAATAATTTAATTTAAATAATAATAGTCACCTGGGAAAGCTCCTCTCCACTTCAACAGACGTAATTGGTGAAAACATAAAAAAAACGAAATCCTCCGCTGTTAATTTCTCTTCGATCCCCTCAATGATTTCAAGTTCTCCATTAAGTACTTTCGAAATTTAACTGTTTTGAATCCACCGTTTTTCTCTAGAATAAAATTTTAATGGATCGCAGTTTTAAGATAAGTTTTGACTGTGACAATTAACTAGGCTTATCGAAAATTTTATTTAACCTTTACTCCGTATAGGTATAACCATATTGAATTCTCAACAATAAATAAGTGATAAATGATAATAAGTGAAATACAGATTAATCAAACTTATATAAGATTCAGTAAAATATAAAATTACAGTGTTTTTCAGCACTTTGCATCGAAAACCGTCAAATATGCGCTTAAAAAACAGAAAAAAAACACAAATTATGCACTTAAAAAAAAAAAATGGTAAAATATGCAATTATATGCAAAAYAAAATTTTGATATTTTGAATATAGATATCATGAAACATATTTCTGTATAAGAATGGATGCTATTGGAAAACCTAAAAAAAATATACAAAATCATAAACATCATAAACATCCTAACCCTAAGTTATAATATAGGGCGTATAATAAATATAACGAATCAAACTGCACAGGACATTCATAAATGGAAGCCAGGTACCAAGGTACTAGCCTATATCAAGACCTGGAAGTATTTGAAAATTCCACGAATATGATGGCTGGTTATCGAACWTAATTGAATTAGCCCTAACTCTTCAATAACAAACCAAAATGCTGTCATAAGTTGTCTTCTCAACAGTTTTACCATAGCTAAGAAAAATAAGTCAAATTTCATTTCCAAAAATATATACATTCTCAGTCTATACTCAGTAATAACAGTGAACATTACAAAAATCTCAAAAATCTAAAATTCATAACAGTAAAACATTACCAACTCAATAAAATATTGAGTTGGTATCACATTTAAACAACTGAGAATGGCTTCTAATTTTGAGGAACTTACATCTGTCGACTYCAACTGTCGATATCAGGACTGATAAAATAGGCGAACTGAGCATATTAGCTGTTCAGCGTGTAGATCGCCTATTTTTTTWAAAATAAAACCACCTTCTTATTTGTAGACTTTGAACATGTCAAACTATTAAATGGTATTTTCAATTTGAGCTACTTATCTCATACAAAAATGAAAGTCTAGAAACCGCATAAACCACGATAAATTGTCCAATATTTAGGTCTATGGTCTARGTACCAAGAATATGGCTGCTCAAAATCTTACTATTACTCGGCCTTTTAAATGTCTGCTACTTCTCATCCAATGTCATTGTACATCAAATTTCTCAGGTATAAAAATTAACCTGCTCCATATGGCTGTACAATATACAAAAATATACAACGTATAGACATGTATATGTGTACATTATAACCACGGTAGAAAGTAGATAACTGTGATTGTAACACAAGTAGGTTATACCCCAAGATAGTATCAATAAAAATATAAATAACATTATAGATCAGGTGGTTCCCCAACCTGCAGCTCCGAAGCCGCATACGGCTCTTTAACATATTGTAATCTGTGACTCTTTGAAAAATTCATCAATATATTGAGACTCGTAAAATACAAATTTTATTTTAAAAAATGGTAAAATATTACAACTATGACTACAAAAAAACAGTTGTTGGTTCCTGGATCGAACAACATGTGCGGCTCTCTGGAGATCATGGTTTAGTAACTTYTTAAAAAGGATGGCTATTTCCCACGAAAAGATCCTGACTAATACTCTTATAGATACTGAAGATCGGACAATTATGAGTTGATTACCAAATATTCTCCGAGATTGTGTACAGGTAAAATACAAATTGGTTTCGATGAACTTAAGTAATGGTAATACAACTATGTTAAATTAACTTTTTTAATTACTATGATATACTCAACCAACAATTTACTTCCTGTTTTACACTGATTTCTCCTCTACAATCAATATTCAAAAAATATATGTTAGAGTAGAGATATTTTGAATTCTGAATTTATGTCACTGCACGTCTCCCCTTCATACTATTTTTGTCAACAAATAAATAAATAAACCTACATAATATTATATGTTTAATCTAATATCTATAATATGCGCTTTCAACAAATTGTTTTACTTTATACGTAATATATATTATAGATTAGATTGTAATCATTCTGAAGTAAATTAAAAAATAATTCTCTGACAACTTCTGAAAAATATTTAACGAAATGATAATTATAGGGTATAGCATGTATAATACAGTCGTATAGGTTCACAYGTTTATGATAATAATACGTGTATGCCTAAACTAGTCAATGACCAATGATAGAATTATTCGAATTAAGAATATTAAACGAGTCGAATCACGCGCACGCAGAAAAAAGTAAACTGAGAAACATATTGTATACATGTASCTATGATGGAAAGCTAAAATGAAAAAAGGGTGTACATTCACTCCTAACCCAAATTAAGTAGAGTTATGTGCTGCAGACGGAAGAAAGGCCGCGTGGATAACACGCGGGTATATAAGTATATAACRTTAGGTTTAGGTATATATATATATGGATCGTGCGGTGACGGAGACGGGAAAAAGCTATCGCGCGGGGGAAGGGGACGGGACCTCACAGCCCCAGCGCCGTGGGTG